ACTATGCTTGACCGCTTCAGGCAGGAAACAAGGCCTGGAATGATCATTTCAAAACTTTGAGATCAAGGCCACATAACAGTAGAAAATAACTGTTCTCAGGGGGAGTCTCATCAATCAGTACTTCGATTTGGTGATGTGATGTTTCATTGTTGGCTCTGCACCCTTTAAGGGGTCAAGGGCTGAAATCTGATTACTAGAATGGACTCCTTCCCCAGAAACAGGCAAATTCGAAGAGTTCATGGATCCCTTGTAACTGGACCGTTCACCCCAGATTAACAATACCTGCTATAACACATTTACTTCATCTAAGAAAATGAAATACTTGGTTTCATGATTTTGAGGATTTGACAACATGATTTGGAGGGTAACATTAGGGAAATGTAATGTAAGCTAGCTTTTTTACCCTTCTCACCCCTGAGGCCTACAGGAGTCTCAAAACTGCATGCTCTCTGCAAATAAAATACTGCACACTCTGCATGACTTTTAAAAAGTGACAATCTAATCTCTGAATTTAAATGCCCTTAATATTTAATTTTTCCTCTATGTGGTTATAGCTTGCTTTCTCCACATTATTAAGATGATGACTTTAGAAGGTAGGCTGTTGGAGATCCAGAAAACCATATATCCCAATTCAATGTCCTTGAAAAAAATCAAAAAGTTCACTCTCTGGAAGAGTTGAAAGAGGCTGAGGGGTCACTGCCCCCCCCCCCCCCCCGACCCCATGATGGTACAGGGAGAACTCCAGAAGGGTAATGTAAATACTCAGTATGAGGCAACAGGGCATACCAATTTGTTTTTCAATCTATTTTATTTCAGTTCAAAGCATTGTTACAGACAGTCCAAGAAAACAAGCCACATTTTGGTTATACTCAGTCTTCCTCAATCTCCAAAAGCAGTTGAGTATTGCCAAAGCGTGGCTGTTTCTCCTGCGCTGCCTGTCTGCAATGATGCTTTGAACTGAAATAAAATAGATTGAAAAACAAATCAGTATGCCCTGGCTCTTCCTGCAGTTTTATATTATCCTTCAAAGCTAGTGTTACCAGCTACTCTTTACTGGAACCCAAGAGACCCAAATCACAGAGTAAAACTGCAATACTTTAAATGTGAAGGTCCCACCCAAACCTGAAATAGCAATTTAATTTGGGGCTTGTTGTTTAACGTTGCATTAACATGCCACTCTCTGTCCGGTTCCATGCTCCATTTGCTGGGCTGGATTATATCTTCTGATGACATGTGCCATCTGGTTACTGGACACAGTTTAAAGCAAAATTGACATTGCTGATCTTATATAGTTTGCTTGATTTATTACTGCCTCTGTAATTTTTTATGTTCCTGAGCCCAAACATCGTATTATTTTTACCTATTTAAAATGTCTGCTACTTGCTTGCAGGGGTGGGGAACGTCCAGCCCGAGGGCCATATATAAGGCCTGCGCAATCAATACCAGCTAACATCACACGCCTCACCAAATTAGCCTGACCAAATATAGCAGGCTCATTTTTAAATTGATAATTTTGTATGGCCCACGAATGATGTTATAAATATCCAAATGGCCTTTGGCAGAAAAAAGGTTCCCCACCCCTGCAAAGTATTCAATGCCCTGCTTTGAATGGGCAGGGAACTGAAAATAATGCAACATTATTTTGAAAACTTTTGGGAAAAACCACAAATCATTTGCAAACAAATTCTGAAATGTAAATATAAATGTAATATAAAACCACCAACTAAAATCTGAAGCCTATCTTTTTCTTAAAATGCCTTAACAAAGTGCACATGCATGCAATGAAGGAGCACAGAGTTTCGAGCTTAAAACACTAAAATGATGAAAAATGCTCTGAACAGACATTTGTATAATTTGGTTGAAAAACAATTACATGCCAGTTGGAAAAGTTCAACCCTTAACAGAAACATTAAGAGAAAAGTAAGATCTGTTGCCCTCCCCCTGAAAGACACACACACACACACACACACACACACACTCCTCTTCAATTTTGTCTGTAACACTTCTGGATTTTTGTTATTATTTAGCATTTTATTTATTTTTTTAATCTTGGGCAAAACTTTTTATTAAAAGAAGGTTGGTTTTATTTATTTATTTTTCCCAGTTACTTTATTTTATTTTTTTAATTTTATTTTTGTTACAGATGTTTTTCCTTTTTTACCCCATTGACACCCCCCCTCCCCGCTTCTCCAGCTTTGTTGTCCAGGTCCATTGGTTATGCATGCATGCATATAAATTCTGTGATTTATCTCTTCCCTCCCCCCTTATTTAACATTTTTTAAAAGTTTTCATTTGGGGCCAAATTTGGTTAGTCTCCCCTGATTGAAATTCAGCAACATATGTAACAAGAAAACTCAGAACCTATTGTTACATTTTCTCTAATTTAATCCACACAATAACTCTTTAAGTAGGTATCATTACCCATATTTGACAGAATAGATGACTAATCTGTAATTGGCCCCTGAGAATGCAGCTCTATCAGCAGCAAAGCCAAGTTCAAGGCCAGGGACTCAAAGCACAGGACTGTGAATTAAAGCACAATCATTTCTTTCAGTTCTCCAGCACCTCAAGTTCTTGCCAACTCACAGGCTCTAAACCTGCTGAAAAGTTCTATCTCCCCACTTCTCTCCCCTTTCCCTTCTTGCTGGACCAGTACCTTGTCATTCAACAAGTTTCAGCTTCAACCACCTCTCTTGAGAGGCCTTCCAAGGCCATCTTGGTAAAAAGGGTCTCTCAGGTTAGCACTGTTTTGTTTCCTTTATAATTTGAAATAACTTTATTTCTTTACTGTCTCAGACACTATGTTTTAGGTCCATCTTGCTCACTCTGGTAATCACAATGGTGCCTGGTACAGAGCAGACACTCAAATATTTGCTCAACGAACAGCCTGGATTTGTTTATTTAATATTTACCAGATGACTGGTTGTGGGTACTGGCTAGCAGCTGGTACAAAAACAAGTAAGGTGTGATCCCTGCCCTTGAGGACCTCCCAAATTGGTAGAAAAGATAAATAGATGGACTAATACAGGGTGGTGAGTGTGATCAGTTTAGGTTCAGATCCCAGTTCCCTTATGCATCAGCTATGTAACCTTGTAAATCTCTTCTCAAGTCTTAGTGTCTTCATCTTTAAAAAGGGAGTATTAATACTACCTGTGTCATAGTGTTGGTCTAAAGATTAAATGATAATCCATGTAGCTAGCCCCACCATGCCGCTAAGTGGTTGAGCATTGACCCATACACCAAAAGGTCACTGGTTCAATTACTGGTCAGGGCACATAACCGGGGTTGTGGGCTAGACCCCCAATTAGGGGCATGCAGGAGGCAGCTGATGTGCAATATTTCTGTCTTTCTTCTGTCCTCTCTCTTTAAAAATCAATAAAAACATTTTTTAAAAGATAATCCATGTAAATCAAGTGTAGAGTGTAAAACAAGCTCAAAGAGCTCTTGGCACAAAGGAGTCACGCAATAAATATTAACTACTCATTTTGTTATTATGATGCTCTGACAGCTGTACTTGAAATTATCTTTGTTTACTTGTGTGCCATCTGTCCAAGACCCTATAGGATTTTAATTCCGTGGAAGGACAAAGATCATATTGATCTTTTCATCACTGTATTTCCAGGGATTTGAATCATCCCTAGTAGGTGCTCGACAAATACTGAATGACTCATGAACACATGCATGCAAACATAGTGTTCTGAAACCATTTGTTAAATTCGTGGAGGATAGCTATGTTTGGGAACTACTGCCATGTATGAAAGGCATCTAAATTACAAAGTGAGGTGTGGCAGAAGTTTGATGATTTAGCTAAATAGAGATATTTCACTTTGGGATTGTAATTGAATCTCCATAAACCACACAAAGATATGGATAGAATTCCAAGAAAGAACCAACAGCTCCAGGTTGAGAGAGTTGAAAGAAGAAATTCTGGGCAATATGGCATGGGTCACAAGACTGGTGGCTTCCAGGGATAATCTATGACAACCTATGATCTAGGACAACCTTAAACAGCTTAACCTCTCAGAAATGAAGATTCCTCCTCTTAAATGGAAACACGGACACCTGCTTATAGAGTGTTGTTAGCACAAAAAAAACCGCTGGGTATGAATGTAAATAAACCACCTGACTTCTTGTAGGAGCTGGGTGGGATCGTAGTATTGTTATTTAAAGTAGGGGAAACATTCCCCATTCCCACATTGAATAATAAATCATTAAGACCAGAAGAGGCAATGGGAATCTGTTTTGTCAGTATGGGACAGTTGTAGTGGAGTTACCCATTATGTGAAAAGAGACCACAGGAATCACTGGACAACAGCGACCCAGTCTAGTTGTGTCTAGGGTAGGGGTCAACGACCTTTTCCTGTGAAGGGCCAGATAGATATTTTCGGCTTTATGGGCCAAGCGATCACTGCCATGCAACCTCAGACTCAACGACCCAAGTCGGCCCTTGTAGCAGGAAAGCAGCCATAGACAACACATAAACAATGAACAGGGCTGTGTTCCAATAAAATTCCATTTATGGACTCTGAAGTTTGATTTTAATAACTGTCACAATTCATATGAAATACTCCCCCCCCCCCCCCCAACTATTTAAAAATGTAAAACCCATTCTTAGTTTCTGGCCACAAGAGGAAGGGGAGGGGAGGGGACGGATTTGGCCCAAGGCCAGGCTGCCTGCATCTGGTGTAGGGACTTGGGGGAGGGGGTTGAGAGCAGAGGATCCGCAGGCCAGCCGAGTAGCAGGCGGTGCGGGGCTAGGGCAGGCCCCAGGCGGGAGAAGGCCCCCACAGCGAGTGAGCAACGGGGCCGGGACCCAGCAGCCTTTCTCTGCCGGAGACTGGAGCGGAGCCTGCGCTCGGGGTGTGGGCTGGGACTGGGCAGAGGCCGGCGGAGTTCGCCATGCGGAAGGGTCTCTGTGATCCCCTCAGTTGGGGCACCTCTCCAGCCTCAGCTACAAAAGGGGTCTCCACGCTGAGTCCCAGCCCCGTTTCTATGGTTACCTGTTCAGCACCGATTCAAACTGCCGTTCTTTATTGACAGCGCCATAGAGGACACGAACACTCCTGCCCGAAGGGAACAATAAAGATTTCTCCATTCAACAGCGCCAGAGACGCCACAAGGCGGCCATCTTGAGGCCGGCGGGAAGTGTGTGAGGGGGAGGCCCCGACCTGCCCCGCGCCACAGTCACGTGCTGGGGGTGGGTGGGCCTTTCAGGGGCGGGGCCTGCTCCGTGCGCGTGCGCTCACCAATGCTAGGTCTCTGGGGCAAGCCCGTTGCTGGCCTTGCCTCTTGACCTCTGACCCTTGGCCACTCTTCTCTTTTCTCCTCCCCCCTCCTCTGGCCACGCTCTCTCAGGACAATTGTAATCGAATTCCACCATCCCTTGCTGAGACCGCACTGGGGTTAGGATCTTATTTCAAAAAATGGCAAAAGAGTAGACACAAACATTTCTCTTTTTACAAAACATCACATTCACTTGCAAGGGGGAGACGCGACCTGAGGCCGGTCCCCAGAGGTATTCTCATTGGTGGAGAAGCCTGACACCGCTCAGACATGATAGGCTATCAGACTCGTATCAACCAATCGTGTGCCTTGAAGGCAGTTTGAAGCCGCCTCTCCCTCCGCCCAATGTTAGCATTTAGGGCGTGTGTTTATTTACTTTCCTGCCCGCACACCGTGCGGTCCCCTCTCTCCTCCTGCCATCCTCACGGCCAAGCAGAGGCGTCGGGGCGGTGTCCGGCCCACCGAGTCGGCCGCGCTGGCCCGGGAACTGCACACGGCCACTGACGCGCAGCCTGCTCCTCTGTCACGCAGGCAGGCCACCCAGTGCGGCCATCGCAGTGCAGTGCTGAGTTCCCTCTGTGGTCACAGCTGCTCCCCGCGCCGTGTCCCTGTTCAGCCGTCCGGAGAGCTGCCGTTGTCAGGCGGTCTCTCGCTCCATCGCCCTTTTATTCACACATTCAATCTACTGGGCAGACCTGTCACATTGTCGCTGTCAATGGTCCCTCGTTTTTACTGTCACCGTCCGATATGCCAACACCGTCGGTGACCACACACTTCAAGCCGTTCTGGGCAGTGCAGCACTTGCCCTGCGTGCCCAGCCCTCACTCCTTCCGCTGTCTTCACTGTCACTGCCACCCACCTGCTTCACCGCCACGTAGTCAGGACAATACTTAGCAGGCCCCTAGCAGGTACACAGCTGCCCGCGGTCCCGCCCAGTGCCTCGATGTCACTGTCATGCTCACACATCACTGTCACGTGCAGGGTCAGATATACCGCAGCTGACATTCAGTCACTTCTGTAGGCACTAGAGCCACGCACAGCTGTTGTGTCCCCCTAACCACTCACTTCCATTACCGCCGCCTTCTCCTTTAGTGAGAGCCCTCAGGTAGGGAATGCCAGGTTGAGCCAACACCTACATTGTCGCACATAGTAGGTGCTCAAGAAATATTTGTCAGAGTGATGGATTTTTTTTTTTAAGGTATTATTCCAATGTACTGTATGTGAATGTGGACGGCTTGAGGCTTGTCCGTCTCAAACAATAGGAATAACTTCGCAGGCACACTCTGTCCTTCCTCTTCCACTCAGCAAAACTCCCGTCCTAGCAGGACTAGAAGGAGAGAGCCGGAGGAATGCGCCACTCTGCCTGAACTGAGTTCCCGGGGCCATGTTTACAAAGAATAGGGTGGTTTTTTATAAAGTGTTTATTTCTTATTCTATGTTACGTTTTAAAACAAAAACATGTTTGTTGTAGAGCATTTAGAAAACATAGGAAGGACTCTCTCCTTTTGAAAGATGGTTTTAGACATAAAGAATGCCATCCCCCAGTGTCCCCCCCCCACACACACACAGTCAATGGGTCAATGTTGCAGTTTCTCCATAATTGTTTACTTGAGGTTTTGCATTACTTGCGATTCTCATGGGAATGCCTTGGCCATAGTTTATGAAGAAGAGCATAGGGTCATGGAGAGCAATGGCCCTGGCTTCTGGCTGACCATCATCTGGGAGAATAAGAACACAATGGCTGGACCCTTTAAGAATGTCATCTCGCCCTGGCCAGTTTGGCTCAGCGGTTAGAGCGTCAGCCTGCGGTCCGGAGAGACCCGGGTTCGGTTCACGCTAAGGGCATGTACCTCGGTTGCAGTTTGTCCCCGGCCCTGGTTAGTCGTGCGGGTGGCAGCCACTCGATGTGTCCCTTTCACATCGAGATGCTTCTCTCTCTCTCTTCCTCTCCCCCCCCTCCCACTCTGTCTGAACAAAAAATGGAAAAATGTCCTCGGGTGAGGATAAAAAAAAAAAAAAATTAGGAGAATGTCATCTCTTGGGAGATCCAAGGTTTTTAGAGAAATAACTATCGCTTCTAACTAATTGCTGGAAGGACTCAATCCTTGACCTTGAGGGGGGAGGTATTCTTGGACTTTCACCCTTTCTTCTACCTTGACAGAAAATGTTCCCAGGACCATGGCTGAGGAGGCTCCAACTAAACTACCACTTCTGAAGTGAATATTACATGCCAAGAACACTGGGCTGAACAGAACATGGTCCCTGCCCTAGTAGGAAATAACAACCGCTACCACGTCCATAGCTAATAACAGCAATCATCGTTGATCTTGCTTTTACCCTCCGCCAGGCACCATGCCAAGCTCTGTCCCTAGATTATCTCAGCTAATTCTCCTAACTACCCAATGAGGTAGGTAACATCATTACCCCCTTTTACAAAGGAGAAAACAGAGTCACAGAAAAAAAATAATTTGCTTTAGGAAACATAGCTACTAAGCAGTGGAACTGAGGTTTAAACCTAGGAAGTCTGACTCCAGACCCTTAAACCACACCCCCCTCCCGAAGAATGAATGATTTACAGTTTTTACAAAATATATATGTTCATTATAAATAATTCACAGATTACCGAAAAACACAAAGAGAGTTAAAAAGAGAATCACTATAAATTCTACTACTGAGCAGTAACATATCATTATAGGGGAGCATTTCTCCATCTCTGGGCAGATTTATGTAGGTAGGTAGATGGACAGATAATAACAATAATAATGACAATTTCCCTCTAGTAAGCACTGTGTGTAGGACACTGTTCTGAGTGCTTTCCATGAATTAACATGTTTAATTTACTCAGAGAGAAAGAGAGATGGATAAACATAATTTTATGAAAATGAACTCATTTAACATATTCAGAGTTCGCATCAGCAGCCAACCACCTGATGATGTTTTCCCCAAATCTGGTTCTTTTCTCAGGCTTTGCTGTCTTCCTCTGCTTTCCAATCAAATCTTACACCCAGAGTCCTTGGGCTGCAAAAGCTGTCTTTAAATAGCATCCTCTGCACAGCTGCTGCCTGGTCAAAAGTCTGCTGTTCCCCAAGGCAGTGGTGTTATTTGTAGAAGTGAATTTTGCTAGAGGCTCGACATAGACTTTTTATTTCTTAGAGTAGGTATCTGGGCCTTGGCATTCTTTTTCCTGGCTTTCTAAGTGTTAGAATTTCACTACCCCTTTTTCCAATCCAATTGAAGCTTGGTCTTCAGATCTTGCCCATTGGAGACCAGAGAGTCTCAGATGAGGATGCTGTTGAAATCTACAGAATAACTCAGAAAGGTCAGCTGCCTGCTCATCCATCTGGGATGACAACAGAGAAAGAAGGAGGAAGATTGCCTTGCTCCAACAGGGCTGCCCGCCAAGGGGAGTCTGGAACACTTCTGTGGGTCTGGCTCCACCAATATCTTATATTGTTAATTAATCCCTTGCCCTAGTTTTCCCTGAGACAAAAGGCACTTTTGCATTTAGAATGATGGAATCTACATCTCTACGGAGATGGAGAATCCACCAAGCCTGCCTCTCCCCTCCAGCTCCCCGTTTCAGAGTATGGCCCACCCACCATTCTCTGCCCAACTGCTCAGGTCAGACACCTGAGAGTTGTCCTTGACACTTCTGTCACTCAACCAGCCACCAAGCCTTGTCGATTTTACCTCTGAATATACCCTCTCCATTTGACCTTTATCTCTCACCTACTGTAATATCCTCCCTGTGCAGCCTCTTTTGCTGTCCTTTACTTTGTTCTGCAGCCAGTACACCAGTGTAGTCTTACATTTCTATTAGAATCAACTTTATAAATGCAAAATCAAGTTACATGCAAGAAAATGTACTTATTTAAAGTAGAATTTTGGCCAATATATTAGATAGACCTGTGTAACAAAGCATATCGAGACGTAGTTTTAGGTTCACAGCAAAATTGAGAGAAAGGTACAAAGATTTCCCATAGCCCCCTGCCACTACACAGGCATAGCCTCCCCTACCATCAAACCCCCACCAGAATGATAATTTGTTACAATTGCTGTACCTCCATTCACAGGTCATTATCATCTAAAGTCCATAGTTTACATTAGGGTTTACTCTTGATGTTGTCCATTCTATGGGTTTGGCCAAATGTATCCACTATTATAGTATCATACAAATAGCTTCACTGCCCTAAAATCCTCTGTGCTGTCTATTCATCCCTCCCTCCCCACAACCACTGGCAACCACTAATCTATTGGCAGTCTCCACAGTTTTGCGTTTTCCAGATGTCATATAGTTGAAATCACACAGTTTGTAGCCTTTTCAGATTGGCCTGTTTCACTTAGTAATTTGCCTGTAAGTTTCCTCCATGTCTTTTCACGGCTTGATAGCTCATTTCTTTTTAGTGCTGAATAATATTCCACAGTTTATTCATTCACCTATTGAAACATAATTTGATTGCTTTTAAGTTTTGGCATTTATGCCTAGAGCTGCTATAAACATGTGTGTGCAGGTTTTTGTGTGGACATAAGTTTTCAGTTCACTTGGGTAAATAACAAGGGATACAACTGCGGGATTGTATAGTAAAAGTACATTTAGTTTTATAAGAAACTGTTAATCTGTCTTCCAAAGCGGCTGCACCATTTTGCATTCTCACCAGCAATAAATAGCAGTTCCTGCTGCTACACATTTTCATCTGCATTTGGTGGTGTTAGTGGTTTGGATATTGGCCGTTCTATTTGTTGTGTTGCGGTCTATCTCACTGTTATTTTAATTTGCATTTCCCCGACGACATGTGATATGGAGCATCTTTTCATGTGCTTGCCTGCCACCTGTGTATCTTTGACAA